TTTTGTTTATCGAAAAAAAAAATTCACTTTGCTTTGTTTATTTTTCTAAAATGCCCAATAAATGTTCAATTGCCTATTGGCACTGAAGGTGAATCGATTGGCATGTATCTTGGAATTTTATTAGATTCGCCTTCATACTATTTTTGCAAATAACACACACATGATTGGTTTTTTTGATAATAAAATTCTTTTTTTTTTATTCATTAATTAAAACTAAATTGTATACATTTTTATGAATTTTTTAAATGATTGAAATTGCTAAAATCGCAAGAATTTCAAGAATACTAAAATAAAACAATCTTGTCTAATTTTAGTTTTTTCATTTGATTTTTATCTTTACTTGCATCTTTACTGAAAAGTATTTAAGTGTTTGGTTTTTTTAATTGAAGAGGCAATAGTTTATAGCATTTTTTATTTAAATTTTATGCAAAATAAATGTTGATTGATTGAAAGCACCTGACTCAATTTCTTATTTTCCATAAAACTATTATTTTATTGTTTACTTTCAAAAAATGCTTAGTTAATACATAACAATTTTTAATATGGAACACAAATTATTTACGCTAAATAATTATATAAAAAATATATATAAAAATATATATAAAAATATATATAAAATATATATAAGTATTTATAATATATTATACAGCGGCTTATTTAAGTATATATTTTTTAAATTTATACTAACACTCAGCAGCTGATTATTAATAGAAAAAGAAAACTGTAATAGTTAATTACATTTATATATAACTGTGGTATATGCGTTCATTTTAGTAAAGTAAAATCAGAAAATTTACTGTTGAGAAAACAACAACAAAGACAAAACTCTAAATTAGAACAACACAAGTCAATATGTTTGATCAATAGTCTAAAATATTACTCTCCGCTTTTAATTTGATAGAATAAAAGTCCAACTTTTAATACTTTCAGTCTGAAAAGTTGCAATATATGGGAATAAATAATTCAAAAAAAAATTTGTAAGCACTACTATCTGGCAACATCGTAATGAACAGTATGATTATCGAAATATTCAGTTAATTAATAGAAATAAATATAAATTAAAAATATATTGAAAGATAACAACAAAAATTTTAGTTAATTTCTTGAAATTTGGCTGGCCATACAACACTGTTTCGAGTATTACAAAGTATTCATCATAATAGTTCTTCGGAAATATTCGAATTTTTAATTAGTTTATAGTCCGTATATAAATTTTTTGGACTGCAAGTGCCAGGTTTAGAGCTCGTGCCTGTCAAATTAGAAACGATACTAATCATATTTTTCCACAAGTAGCCAAGGCTTCACAAACTTTTCTTGCACCGTTTATAAATTATTTTTATATAAGTCCAAAATAAATAGCCAGTAAAAAGTCACAGAGTCATACGCCATGAGGTTATGGTGCTTACTTTTTTATCAATTAACTTTTTAATGCAAAAAAAATAAAGAAGACTCAAAGGCGATCTATTAGCTACCGATGCACTCTGATAAATACAGAATTTGGTACAGTTTATGGATTGCTGACATGATAGGTACTTCTTCAAAAATAACAAAAAAAAACGAAATAATAACGTGAATGGCGTCCACAGCAGCACCATTAACAGAGCTCTATTTTTTCACATATCGGTGAATATGTCTTGGTCAACTTCGGTGCTATATGTTATGATCATATTATCTAACAAATTATGAATATATCATAACAACTGCTTGATAAAAATAAATTGACTACAGAATTAAAGCCATAATGTTGCACTTTACATCGCGTAATTTAGTTTTGATAAAGCACTCTTAGTAGAGGTATTCGAAGTCATTGGTGCATCAAAAAAAGTCAGACATGATTCCTGATATTGAAATAATCACTTAGTATGGATTATTTCTGTTTTGGAAGCAAACGCTTAAAATGGTTGCTTCCTGATTTGTAAGCAACCCCTATGTGTGATTTGTTCCTGCTTTCGAAACAGGGATCGTATTTTAAGGGATACTGCGCCATATACTCAAATAAGCTATTAAAAATTTCAGATCTGACTTGCAAAGAAACATTTAAAAAATTTATTTAAGTTGTGTTTTTTTTTCTTTCAATTTGAAATCGTTAACTTAAAACACCCAGTATTAATAATGTATATTTAAATAAAATCGTATGGAAAAACCTAATTTAATTATAACTTATCAGTTATAAACTTTACACTAGAATTTATAATATGTATATAAGATATGCTCTAATATTTCAAACAGAACTGCGGAATATTTTTCTAATATTAAATCAAATTCCTAGAATTACAATTATATAAAATTTATTAATACTAAATTTGTGTTTTTCTTTTTTCTAAAACACAATAAACAACAAGAAATATTTTCAAATGTGTTGTAAAAAATATATTAATGATCGTTTTTATTTGGCGTAAAAACAATTGAATATTTTTTTTATTACTCATACGTCAGAGAAAATTCATTAAATACTTAAATTTAAAGTTTTTAAATATTCTAAAAACAGAGAGAGAGGATTTTTAAATACAAATTCAGAATTATTAAAAAAAACACACAAAAAAAAATCAATTAATCAAAATCTGTTTTATAGGGTTCTATAGCCCCATAGAATGCAATACAATTACGACACCTCCCACAGATTGATAAAAAGGTAAAAACTTGTACTCATTCTGTAAATTTTTGTTTAAAACTGTAATCGCCTCTTACTATAAATATGTGATGAGATCAAACAATAAATCGTAATAATCCAATAGCTTCTTCGTTTTCTTTTTAATTCCTTTATCTTCTTATAGAGCATAGGGCCTCCTTTAGCTAATATAGCATAAATTATTTCTAAAGAACCAAATATTTCCTTTTTTCCTGATTCTTGTCTAATAATGTAGAAAATTATTCCAAATCCTAGAAGAATTAAAATATAAACTATTGAATGGTCAAAAAATCAAAATACATCTTGATACGGTGCAGAAAAAATCCAAACCTAGACAGATCTGGGTTTATCCAAAAACTTAGGAAGAGACGTTGTATTTTTAATTTAAAAAATTCGAAATATTTTTAACATAGTACATGTACAATCTAAAAATGATACATAGCCCAAAATTAAACGCCTATTGATGATGAATTTGCTGTAATACCAGACACATATATATTGTTACCAAAAAAATACTCTTAACTAAATTTTGTATTCATAATCTCATACAGACTATTAAATTAAATTAAACAAATATTTTTTAAAGTCACTAGTGATTTAACCTAGTATTCATAATCTTCCTTATTATTTGCTTAAAATCTGTAAAAGTTTGCCATTTTATTATTTTCGGTACTCAGTAGAACAGAACTGAGATTACTGGCAAATAACTTGATAGCAGATCTTAAAGTGAAGTTGTATAGACAGTTATATGACAATTGGTCAAGTCTATATAACTTGATATTATTGACAAGTGTTGTGATAGCAGATCTTAAAGGAAAAACATGCAGACAATCATATGAAAATTGTTTACATCAGCTTTACTCTCTTTCTATTCATGACTATAAAGATATTTTATGCAGACGGACAATTTCTAATTTTATACTGTTACTGTTACTTATAGGTTGTACCCAGGCATAGAAAGATTAAAAAACATTGAAAAATTGAAGCCTCATAAAATTAACCGTTGGCCTATTTTGATACATATGTATATTCTTTCTGGTTACAAGCCTGGTTGTACAAAAATAAAAGAGATAATTTTTAAATATACAACTTGTAATATTTTTTATTGAGTAGGACCTTATAGAAGTATAGAAGTGGTTAGGTTTTTTCACCTTAATCCTGATTAAAGTCATTTTAAATCCCACACATCCTCTAATCTAGTTTTATTCCTAAATAATCCTCTTCTCTCTCACACAACCAATACCTATGCACATCATAACCCAGGTATTCGTCTTATATTTTCTAACGTTATCAAAATTACAGACCTTTGCAGATTACAACATCATTTCATGGCCTTTAGTCTACATTACCTTTTTAACGAAACAGGTTCTTAAGTGATAAAATGTGGACTCTTTATTAAAGAAATTGAGACTTCTACCAATTGTATTTATGATTATTTGATCAGAGCCAGAGGAGGAAGAGGAATACTAAGCCTGGAGATCTAATCCGTTTCTAATATTGAGCAATTTTCAATGAGAGATTTTTTGTCCTTCATTTAGAGGGTTGAAAATCATCGATTGGTTTTATGGTCATTTTTAAGCATAAAAAATATAGTATGGTACTTGTGCCCTAAGCCCAAAACTCTGTAACTTGCCTTTCTTTTCTATACTATTTTCATTTTTCAAACAACTTGAGAACAAATATCTCTCTTGAATTCAAAATTCATTGAAATCAATATTTTTTTCCATCATTATTTGGAACAACTGTTTTTTTTTTGTGGTCCGACAATACTCCTGAACTAACAAAGTTGGAATTCCTAGAAAGTTTCGATATATGTCTTGAAGCCACTCTTCGAGTTTGACGACGAAGTGCCGTTAACGACCCCGAAAGCGACTACACATTCAGATTCCCACGGGTTACAACAACAACAAAAAAGTTGACTGTTGTTGAGTACCCACTTAAAAGAGCTTTCACTGTACTACTCGTATAACAGTTTATTTGACCACTTTTTCCAAAAGAAGCAGCCGAAATAAAAATTCCAAAAAGCAAATATAATTAAATTTATATTTTACACGTGTTGACACATTTTTTTTGTCAGTTCAAGGTTTCCATGTTTGCAGAAATAATTTTCATAGCGCATATTTGCTCAACCATTTTGCGATAAATTGTTAATTACATTATTGGAATTTCTTCTGATAGAAACCTTGACCTTTGAGAGGAAGCAGCGATGTAAATAAGAAGCAAGTGGGTCAATGAAAAAGCACTCAAGTAGATGACATGATCCGAGCACTAAACGCATAGGAATATTGGAATAATTAAAAATGATTGAATAACAATTTCTGTTAATTATTTTTATTTTTTTATTTCCTTTCTATTTCTATTTTGCACTCACCGTCTTTAGCGTTTTTGGTTGCTGCCATTGTGTGACCCGATGTGGTGTCAGCTCCACCAGCTGATAGGCTTCTCTCCATTGAGCAAAATTTTTAATGTTTTGCTTTGCAAAGAAATTTTATTTACCGAAAAAACCAACGAAAAAAAAACACTGCAACACTATTTTCGTTTTAAATTTTATTTACAATTATTATATATTTATTATCTAATGTTAAAATAACAAATTCCCCTGCCACTTGTTATTCCAAATATTGTGCACCAGAAATTGTTAAGTAATTTGCATTGGGTGTTCTTGTTTTTATTTCTTGAATTGCTGCATGCTACACATATAAACACCACGCACGGAACACAAGCGTAAAACAAAAAACAAATAAAAATAAAATAAGTGGAATTTAAGAACCAAAAGAAAAAACTAAAAACACAAAACGAGATTTAGATAATTATACGATGCGCTCTTTCGCACTACTACCACACGTTTGGCGACTCTTTAAACCGAAGAGAGAGAGAATGTGCATAATTTTGACAGTTGTCAGTTGAACTAAATTTATAAATTGTACTTGTATTTGAAGAAATAAATTAAAACACTACAAAATATATTTTGTAATTTAATTTCACATTAAAAATAAATAAATTTTAATTTAGTACATTTAAGCAAGAAAATTTATTATAACATTTTTTTTTAATATATATAATTAATTTTGAAGAGAATCACTGTATGAAGACAACTTGCTTTGTTTTTGTAGCACTCTTGCACAGTTCAAAGAAAATAAAACACACACAACGAATATTGCAACAAAGAGAATCGTAAAATCATACGTTCGCCGTGCACCACGCAAAATTATCTTTGATTTGCCATATAAAATTAACACATTCTTCACTAGTTTTCTATTAATAATTTTAGCAATTTTTTTAACAGCATATTTTATAATTAAATTACTCTATAATTTCTTTTTCAATTAAAAAAGACTAACATATTTTAAAATAAATTTGCACCGCTTCGACAAAGACACGCACGCACGGATACGTTGAGTATGGAACTGAAGACGACATTTTGACTGCCAACTGCATGTGTCAAACAAACCATGCTACCAGACTTGTTATATACATTGATAAGTGTTAAGCCTTGCCATAATCTATATTATATTGTAAATAACTGTGATACCATCACATTAATTAATTATCTATGTACGTTTTTAATTTGTATTAATTTAATTAATTATAAGAAATACAAAGAAGTCACAATATACAATATACAATGATGTACCGAATCAGAGGCATACACCAATGCAAATTCAAGAGCAGATGGCGCTGAAATTTATTTTGGTTTGTGTACTTGATTAGCAATGTACTCTAGTGGTCATTTGTAAAATGTAAAACACTATTGTATTTCAAAAGTGATTTTACAGCATTTAATAATATAACTTACAAAATCAAAATAAATTTATATAAACTATAAATTTTTATATTGATAGTAAATAAATCAATAATGCTTTCATAACATAAATATATTAAATAAATATTTTAACAAATAATTGCCAACTCTTACAGAAATAGTTTTGTATATAATTTTCTAAAATAGCCTGAAATGAATTAAACAATCACAAATTACAAACATGAAATATTAGACTTATTAATACTAGAAGGAACTAGTTTATACTTAGGTAGAAAATTTCTACTATAGGAATTTAATAACAGGTAGTAAATATGTGTGTCATGCCTTGGACGCCACTTAAAGAGTGCCAAAATCGCTCCAATGCCCTGATCATCTATTAGGCCCACGACATCACTGATAAACTAATACTACGAGGTATATTCCATTCCATATTCCACATCTGATGTGAAACTTTAATCAACATCTCAGATTCCCCAAGTTATAGTTAATAAGTGAAGTAATTTTTTATTTTGATTTCCGTTGGAGGCACAGGAAGAGAGTTTTTAAGACTGTATGTGTAGGCGTTTTGTTTGATATTCTTTGGAATATATTGCATTAAAATGTTTGTAGTAAGTGCCGTTTTGATGATCTTTGACGAGAAACTCAACCCCTTGATAAACAGTTGTTATTTGGTGTGCTTTCAAAGTTTGACCCGATAACTTGATATCTAAATCATTAGGGTTAATGTTGTAGAGTTACTCTACATCCTGTATATAAGAAGTTTCTTATATTTATACTCATCTATTTTATTTGAAATACTTTCTCCTTAATATAATTCTATCATACCATATGTTCTATTAATTTGCTTTTCTGAAATATTTTTCTAATATGTTTTCTGTTCTGTACTTCTGATATATTCTTCGTTTTCTCCGATATATTCATTTGCTATAATTTTCTGATATATTTTTCTGATTTTTTTTAAGATATATTCTCTTAATATGTGTTTCTAATATATTTCCCTGATAAATACATCTAATACATTCATCTGATATATTCTTTTGATTTATTCTACTTATACATTCTTCTGATATATTTCTCAATAAATTTTTCTTATATATGTTTGCCTAACATATTTTTGATTATATTCTTCTAATACGTTCTTCTGACATATTCGTCTGAGATATTCTTCTGATAAGAGTATATTTTTCAAATATATTTTTGTGATATATATTTCTGTTATATTTTTTCGATATATTCTTTTGACATATTGTTTTATTATGTTCTTCTTATATATTCTTTTAATATATGCAACTGACATTCTTTTCTGATATATATATTCTTGTTGTAATGCTTCATATATATTCTTCTAATAAATGTTTCTGATATATTCTTCTGACTTATTTCATTATATTCTTCTGATTTGTCTTTCTGTGACATCTTCTTATGTCACATTATTCTTTAATATTCTTTTAATATATTCTTTTGGAATATTCTTTTAACATATTTCTCTGATATTTTCTCTAATATATTTTTTTGATATATTCTTCTAATTTGTCCTTCTGTAATATCTTCTTGTGTTATATGCTTCTCACATATTCTGACATATTCTTCTAACATATTTCTCTAATATTTTCTTTAATACGTTGTTCTGATATATTCCTCTGATTTGTTCCTCTTTAATATATTCTTCTGATATATTCATAGAACATATTTTTCCAATTTTTCTGAGCATTTAAGCAAAGCATTTCCTTATTATTTTATACTGTCCTATCATGAATTTAGCTTTGCCATAAGTCTCGCAAATTTAACAGATTAGATTTTATAATCTCCTCCTTGAGATATTGTATTACTTTTGAAGACTAAGTGAAGAAATTTTCTGGTAGTTGTCCATTTATTTTATCTCCTTCAAATTATGCTCCTTCTGAAGCGATACACATATGCCAACGCTTAACCCAATCTTCCATACACTTTTCGTAGGCCCGTGAAGGTATGGCTCTTAATTCCTTTAGCGAATTCTCTTTAACGGATTTAATCGACTCAAAACGCTTACCACGAAGGGGCAATTTGAGTTTCGGGAAAAAGTCGGAAAAAGTCGCACGGATCCAGATCTGGCGAATATGGTACCTGAGCGATGACAATGGTGCCGTGTTTGGTCAAAAAGTCGCGTACAACAAGAATTTTCCATAGTAAAAATCGCTAAATGCACTTGAGATAGTCTCACATTAATAGCTGCTGTAAACAAACTAATTGACAGATGGCGCTCAAATTTGTACCATATGTCAAGAAAGGGTGAAAAAGGTCTATTACTTAAGGTGTAATTAACAAACAACAAAAAACAACAAATACTTTTTGAGCAGAAGGTATATAATTTTATATTGGAGCAGTTGTTAATTCACTAATATATTATATTATTTTCCATTTCTTCCATTTCTATACTATTCACATTTTAACATTCTTCTAATCACTCCAAGTGTAATTAAAACATTTTTACAACTTCCAAACAAATTATGAAGCATTTCACATCCGAAGTGACTTCACACTTTGTTTTGATAATTTCGAGTAGCTGCTCCTCCTCCTTCTGTTTGACGTTTGACAGATAGACTATTTTTCTTCAGTGCAGTTTAGCTTTGCATACAAAATTATACCTAAACCATATGTAAATTGAAGTTACTTAAACGTTTTCAATGCAACTCACGTACGAAGAATGTACACGCTCCGGTATAATTACAGGCGCCCATAGTTGCCCGACTTCGCATTCGTTCGCACGCGTTTTGCGACTGAGTGCAGTTTTTATCGTGGATTAATTGTCAGGTGCTGTGCACTGTTTTCGGAGGAGTTGTGGAGTTTACCATGCGCATGCGAACTTTTTTAATTTTTTCCAAATCAGTTTTGAATATTTACTGAATTTTTACTGAATTTTTAGTGAATTTCTATGTCAAAGGTTTTACGTAATTCTCTTCATTTTGAAAATACGTCACGATCGATGATCGATAATAAATTTTATTTAAACTCTTACTTTCTTTTTATTTAATTTGCTATAAACATTTAAAAAACAACAATAAAAATGGCAATTTTTATTTTAATTTTGCTTAAAGTAGCTCGTGTTTTTATTGTTTTTTAATTTAATTTTTTATTTCCATTTAATCTGATCAATTCATTTCTAATAATACATGATTATCATTGCAATCACTTTACTGAAGAAATTAAATACTATGAAAACGGAAATTATAGTGGGATGTGAGGGAGAAATACGAAAAAATTTTGAGTACCACTTTATACTACATTTAAAATATATTATTTATTTATTATATTATGGACTATGAATGCACCCCGAACTAAAAGATTTGTTGTACTAAAGCCTAACTAAAACAATTCTAGATTATTTATAAATCTTGTAATTGCAGTGGACTTAATTTTACCTATGTGATTTAGGACCAAGATCTCGCTTTCAAAGGTGTTTGGCCTACGTCTTGCTACCGCTTTGCAGTTGCATAGAACACATTCCGATATACAAAGTCATCGTGATATGTACATTTTTAACCGATCAGGAATTGTTTTTATCGGGCATCAATCGTAGTCAGCTAATTTAGCTCCATCCGAATTTTAAATATTCACCCGAATATTCTCTAAAACGTTTCCAGCCCTGTCTTGACTTGAAAGAAAAACAAAAAATCAGTATTATATGCGTTAAGGTTTTTTCCCGTAAACTAGACCTTTTGAATTTTAGATAAATTTCTTAATGTATCTTTCGTATACATTAACACATATAAATAAATGTAT